TGTATGTGGTGAACCTGATCATCCCCAGCTCCTTCCTCATGATCATTGACATCATGTCCTTCTACTTGCCGCCGCACAGCGTGGATCGATCCTCTTTCAAAATGACCCTTATTCTGGGATATACAGTCTTTCTTCTCATTATGAACGACCTGCTTCCCAGCACTGCTAATGGAACGCCTTTAATAGGTCAATTAGCCACAACACACCAGTGTGAAGCAATGTGTGAACTTTAATTTTCTTCATTCTGGCCTAAAGCATTTGTATCTAAATGGAAGTCTACTTTGGGTTTAAGAAGAGAAAACCTTTGATAGATGGCTTAACAAAAGCTTTGAGAGATCAACCGATAATCGTTGTACCAATATTTTACCGATATTTGCACATTTTTCTTTGCCTAATATTTGCACATTTTGTACATTATAACTGCAAACCTGCAGGATATCTGATTGTGGAAAAATGCAAATATCGGGATATCATTTCAGTAGGAATCCACACATTTGTGAGCAAAAGACTTCCCCACGCAAATTTTGCACTGGGTTCAGTTGGTAATGCGAATTTGCCATGTTGGTCAACAGAAAGCTGCTTGGTTTGAATTGCTGAGCGGTGTTTACATCTCTACACTACTGACAATAGGCAACGGACCTTTTTTTGCTCATGAAATTTCGCAAATGTGAACGCACCATTATACTCTAGTCCTCCAAGGCCAATAGTTAACCAAAACACAGTAGCAAGCTGTAACATGCAGAGTGATATGAGAGACATAACAGTGCAACCGGTATGTTGCCATGGACAATGGACAATTGACATAATTGGCCAATAAGGATCAAGTATTTCAGAGAGAATAAAGAATTTAATTATGTAGTATTGTTAACTTTTTTTAAACACTCATTTAGTTATATCTCTAAAATTTGGTTTCACCTCCTAGGTATCTATTTCTCTGTGTGTCTGGCACTCATGACCATAAGTCTGCTGGAGACGGTCCTCATCACCTGCGTCCTCCACCACAATTCAATGAAATACAGGGAGGTGCCGCACTGGGTTCAGGTGCTGGTGATGCGCTTCATTGCTCGACTTATTTGCTACAGTTTCCCTGAAGACCCTTTAGCCAAGCTAGAAGGGAAACAAGAAACCAATCCATGGGTCGTCCAGCCCTCACAATCAACGTCCAGTCAACAGACATCCACTAATGGTGAGACAAGAATAGATCCTGATGAAAGGTGTCCAAACCTGTTCCTGGATGGCCAGTGTCCTGCAGAGTTTAGCTCCAACCCTAATTTAACACGCCTGATTCACCTAATCAAGGTCTTCAGATTCACTAGAAACTTCCTGGCAAGTGTATTGGAGCTTGTTGAAGCTAAACTCAGCAGGATGTTGGTCCTCCAGGAGCAGGAGGGGACACCTCTATTTATTAAGATGCTAAATGTTTGCTTTTTGTCCCCTAGCGTCTGGATCCATAACACTGGATGTGCCTGAACTAAGACAGATCAGTCAGGATCTTAGAGAGATGAACACTTATTTGTCCATTCTACGAAAAGAAGACCATCTACAGAACCAGTGGTGTCATGTGGGCTACATCCTGGACTTCCTTCTCTTCCGCATTTACCTGTTGATAATCACGGGATACGCGCTCGTAATCATATGCATGTGGTGCATTTGGATGAACCAGTAGAAAGAGTACAGGCTAGTAGAAAAGAATGTTTACATAGACTTTTGGTTGTTTTCCCATATTCACTACAGCAAAAATGTAGTGAGCAGAAATTGACCGATATTGATTTTTACATTTTTCCATAATTAAATATCGGTTTTGTAATGTCAGATCCACCAATAAATGGTTAATTTACGCATATCGGTTATCGGCATATAAACATGCAAATAATCAGTATCGGTTATAATAGGGTGACCATATGTCCTCTTTTCCTGTCCTGGTCAGGACCAAAAATTTCTAGATTTTGGCTGTTTTCTTATTGACGTTCTCTTATACATTATATGAACGTGTATTTGCATTGTTTTGACTGTTCTCTGTAGATTACGCCTTCTTACATGTGTGACGAGTCGGCTGCCTCCCCCTAATTATCATCATCACCCCGTCCCTTAATCGCCGCCCTTCGCCAGGCTCCCGACAGGAGTGGGTGCGTGAGAGAGGAGGGGCGCTGAAATAGCCAGGGCTGGCGGCGTGTGATGGGGCACACCTGAACTGAATGGGGCCTCATCACCGCCGCTGTTTAAATGCCGAGCGCGCCTCTCCTCGGGAGACCAGTCTCTTCCCCCGTGCATGCATGCTGGTGTCCTCGTGGGTCCAGGAAGGGTGCATAGACGGACTCCCGTGCCGCCAGAGTTGTGAGCTACCGGACGAGAACCGCCCGCGTTACACGGCCGTCGGGCCAGGATGCCGGGCCGTCTAGTTCCTTCACATGCCGGGGCCAAGGCGAGAAGGATGCCGCCGCTGGAAGAAGCCGCCGCCCCTCGCGTCCCGGACTGGAGAGGGGAGCGCGTGCGGCCGCCGGACTCCGCCCCTTACCTGGACCCTTCCTTCCTGATCACTGCCCTTCCCTGCACGAAGCCCGCAGCACGACGAGGACACCAGATCCCCTGTTTATTTTGGACACTAGTTTCCTTTTCCCTGGACACTTTGTTGTTTTATATTATTTTGTCAATAAAAGCCTCTCCGAGGCCTGACGCCACACCCACTGTGTCTGTCGTGTGCTCCTCCCGTGACACGTGCCACATTGGTCAATTATGTACTTTTCAGTCATTACTTTGTACAAATAGGAAAACAAAGGCAAAACATGGACATTTTAGGCAATTTAGAAATCCCTGCCAGGATATGTCCAAAAAAAAATAAAAAATAGTATGTATGGTCACCCTATTGTAACCGATACCGATTATTTGCAAGTTTATGTGGCGATAACCGATATGCATAACTGAACCATTTATCGGTGGATCTGACATTACAAAACCGATATCCGATTATGGAAAAATGCACAAATATCGGGAAAAAATATCGGTAAAACCGATTAACAGTCCATCAAAGTTTTGTGTAACACAACAATACAATAATAACTCCAAAACAAAGGCAAAATTAGTCTAAACATCTTTAATTGTCAGTTACATATATTTACATAAGAAATTATATGTGTACATCTTCTCAAATAGTGCATCAAAAGCCCCTGAATAAAAAAAAGGCAACTCAGTAATTTTACAACAATAAGCTCAAGTGGACACATTGTCAGCAGGATCAAATGAAACATTACAAACTTAATATTAGATCCCATAAGCAACCACACAATAGCAAGTTTGTTAATTCGTTCAATCTCATATAATTAAGGTCAGTGCATTTAAGTCATTTAATGCTTGTGGCAGAGTAGCACATGGTCGTTATTGCTTCAGATATACTCACAGCAGCAAACAAAAGGGCTCTTGAAAATATTTTCTTTTAAATACTACTCAAATTAACTTAGGTCCAGTATGTATGATGTAATACAACTTTCCAATGTAATAAACTCTTTTAATCAATTAACACTTTGGTACAACTTTCTTTTTCAATGAGTAGCTTCGTTGGATGAGTATGGGCCACTGTGCAAGATTTTGGACTGAATGTGAGATGTTGGAATGATGTTCTGGCTCAAACATTAATACAATTCTCATTCAAACAAACATCAAACTAGTGCAAATTAAAGAACCAACAAGACATTTTTTGTCTAACAAGGGACAGAAAACATACAAAGTGCCATTTTTTGGTAGGTGCAAAATGTTACAGCAAAAAGGCCTTCAAATTTACAATTAAAGACCAGTATTGGGCCTCATTTGTGAAACTTGAACTTTGTAGTAACTTCCACAAGAATGGTTTTACAAATTGGTTTTATTTATATTTCTGGTTAAAATGTTCACAAAACCAAAACAATTTATGCATACTATGCATATGCGTATTTACGCAATTATGCATAAATTGTTTTTGGAATAACCAGAGCAAATTTCAGTCTAAAATGGTTTTACGAAAAAGCAAATAGAATTTCTAAATACAAAATAGTGCAAAAAATAATTCTTACATAAATGGTTGCATTCAGTTCAATATGCCGATTTACGCTTCAATCGTTAACAGACATTTGCATAAAAATGTGTTTTACTTGAAATTCATAGTTTACTTAAGGTACATTGTTGCATTAAATTGACGCGGTGGGCAGGTGACGTAACCGGTGTTGCGGCTTAACACCGTCAGCACAGTCTATTGCGGCAAGCCTAAAATGTATGCATACATTTATTTATGCATTTTATTCATTTATGCATATAAATAAATGCAGAAATAATTGTATAAATAACAATATATAATAATACGTAATGTTTATATTATTTTTTAAGGAAGAAAATCATAAATAAATCCACAAACACAAACAAATAATTGTATAAAAACATGCATAAATGTGTACATAATTGCACACAGAAACAAATTTATAAATTTATAAATAAATAAATAAATACCTTTCAGTTTATAAATAAATACATGTATAAATTCATAACAAACTTATAAATAAATGTATAAATGCATAAACTTAACATAAATGCATAAATTAATGTTGAAATAAATGCTTAAAGAAATATAGAAAAAACAATAAATGTAGAAATAAAAGCAGAAATAAATAAAAAGCAGAATAAAAGCAGAAATGCAGAAATTCATAAAAATTGCATAAATGTATAAATAAATCCATAAATAAAAGAAATAAATCCATGAATGCATAAACAAATAATTGTATAAAATACTATTTAAAATAAATTGAAAATACTTTTCAATTTATAAATAAATAAATGTATACATGCATAACATACATTTATTTCTAATGTAGAAATAAATGTATGAATGAATAAATAAATAAACAAATAAATGCAGAAATAAACTAAATTCGAAATACTTTTCAATTTATAAATAAATAAATAAATGTATAAATGCATAATAAATGCATTTAGAAATAAATACATACATAAAAAAAATGCATAAATAAATGCATTAATCAATCAATCAACCAATCAATAAGAGGCTCACCTTCACAGCGCAGGCACTTGCTGAGCTCGTAGGGGAAGATAATGTCCTTGTCATTTCCACAGAACTCACAAATGAAGCCCTTGGCCTGGCAGAGCTGTGGGAGAACAACAAGAGAAGAAGAACAAATAAACCTGATAAATCTAGATCAACCGCAAATCTAGACCATGAAATATCACCTAAACCAGTGTTCTCAAACTCAATTCCTGGAGGCCCACAGCTCTGCACAGTTTCGCTCCAACCCAAATCAAGCACACCTGATCCAGCTAATCAAGGTCTTCATGATCACTAGAAGCTTCCAAGCAGGTGTGCTTCCAAGCAGGGTGTGAGTCGGAGCTGGTTGGAGCTAAACTCTGCAGAGCTGTGGCCCTCCAGGAATTGAGTTTGAGACCACTGACCTAAACAAACGCAATGTTATGTAACTCCTCACCACGCAGTCCGTGACGTGGCTGGAGCCGAGGCGCAGCAGATCTCGCAGCTTTGGCCCCAGACCGCCGCTGCGGACAGCCGTGAGGTCGTTGAGAGAGAACAGGTGAAAGTCTTCGGTCAGATGTCCAGGAAGAGTGTCGAACTGATCCAGAAGCCTGTCAACAGAACAGAGACTTGAGACGCAGCGCTCTTCAGTGCTGTCTCGAAGAAAAAGTGCAGGAAAAACACTCACTCTTGAGCCAAACGGCACGTTCTTAAGAGATTCTTCATGTGGTTCAACTGTTCCCTCAATGCCTGTAATACAGGAAATTCATTCTTAATGAAGCAATACAAATCACAATTAGAAACATTCATTGTATTATATTATAAGTACAAAAATCTGGGGTAAGAATACTCAAGCATTCTTTCAAAAATTATTTGATCAAAAGTAAAGAAAAAACACAGTAAAAACGGTAATATTGTGAAATATTATTACAATTCAACCACTTTTTTTAGTACATTTTAAAATATTATTTATTCCTGTCATGGCAAAGCTGAATTTTCAGCAGCTTAAATGTTTCTTTGATGAATAGAATGTTTAAGAGAACAACATTTATTTAAAACAGAAATATTTTGTAACATTATAAATGTCTTTACTGTCACTTTTGATCAATTCAATGCATCCTCGCTGAATAAAATATTAGTTAAAAAAAATATCTTACTGACCTCAAACTTTTGAATAGTAGTGTATATATTTAGTGCATTTATATAAACTATATTTTGTTACATATTTTATAATATATTATTATAGTAGTATTTTATTAATTATTACACTATTACAACAAAACAGATTCGCATTTTTAATTTTGAACAATATACTTCCCAAAAGATACAACTAAATTAATGTGTTCTTCGTGCTTAGCAAAAAGTTACTTTTAATGGTTTAATCGATCCTTACAAAATAAACATAATAAATTAAATATATATATATATATATATTTGGGGTGTAACGGTACACAAACATTATGGTTTGGTACGTACCTCGGATTTGACGTCACGGTTAAGTATAGTTTCGGTACAGCAGGAGGAAAAACTATACATAAAATTGCTTTTTTTTTTTTATTATTATTAAACAATGGTTTACTGAACAAATTGCTCTCTTTAAATAAATTCAATTACAATTAAAATATTCTAAAGGATAAAAATCTACCTTAGGTTATGCAATAAACAGGGAGTTCATTTACATTACTATAAGGTTACAATTAACAACAGAGCCCAAACTTAAATTTAATTACTATTTATTTTTAAATATAATAATCGACACTCAACTAAAAAAAAAAAAAAAATGTATGCAAACATATAAACTGCACATAATGTAGTTTTTAAATTAACTTCTAAATTATAAAATGTCTGCCTATTTGTTGTTGAAATATATTCATATACACAGTGGCTGTCATCACTTGTTTCATAACACATTTATTCAAACATGCATTAAATAATTAAGACCACTAACAGATAACGTAGGGATGGGCGATATCTTTTGCGATATACCGGTAAAAATTCTCCCCACGATAAGAATTAGTCTTCCCGCGATAATAACGATAAAGTCTAGTTGTGGACATATTTCTGTGCGGAACGTGAAACTGAGGAGGAGTTTATCGCTAAATGAGAAGCTCCTTCTACAATCTGTAACTGCTTTGGTTAGGGCTGTACAGAGCACAAAAAATCGGTCTGAATAAATATACTACAGTAGCATGCGTGCGATACAGTTTTGCATGTTTATGAGCCTGTTTACAAACCTGTTGTCCAACAAAGATATCATTTATTGACATGCTTTTTCTCCAGATTAACTTAATAACAGTTGAGTGTTTGAAATAACTTCTTTTTGTGACCAGACATGGTTTCATATTACAGAATGATAGTATTATATACAGTGATAAAGGTGTCGATTAGCATTGCATTATAAATATACTTTCCTTATAAAAAATAACCAAGATTGCTTGAAGAACACAGATAAATCATATATTTTGTGCAATCGTATGTTTATTGCCTTCAAGTTTCATCAGTTTAAATTTCTCTATCTCCGTTGTGCATTTTATTCAGCGATAACTGGATTGCTTCGCCCCAATTCGCCTACTTATACTATGCCCTAAAAGTATGTACTGTTTTTGTGAAGAAAAAGTACATACTTTTGAGTATGTAGCAAAATAGTAGGCAAGCTTTGGGACATACTACTTCGCCATAACTGTGTCTTTAACATATGCTCTGTTGCTTAGTTACGTGCATTCTATCACTGTTTAAACTGCACTGTTAATCATCTTATCACAGTTAACAAAAATTCAAATTTCGTTTAATTTAATTTCCTACCGTATTGGAGAGAAATGAAGAGGCACGTTGATCGTCGCGGGTCTATCATGTCGAGAACGGCTCATGTGTTTGCATAATGATGCATTTAAAAGTTAATGACCAAACGTATCATTAAACAAGTTCACAATGTTTCTGCAGATGAAATATAACGCGCATAACATTAAATAAATATTTTTAATCAGGTTAGACATCGCATATCCGCCATGTTTGTAGTTTTTAAACACGTTTTATGTGTTTGTAATTATAATCGAAACCTCGTCCGCCACACAATGTGTTGTGGGCAATATTAGCCGTTAGAGTGTGCATCGATCTGCTCTTCGAATTGTAATCTCAAGTAGTAGACCATCCGGGAATCTTTGGCATACTCTTTTCAACATACTATGATTTGGGACATACTAATTCTATTTTCGAATACTATTTAGGACGGATAGAATGTGAATTGGGACGCAGCAGATACCTTTGTCCATATTAGGGATTTCCTGGAGTGTCGTCAGTTGTATAACTTATGCGATGCATATGTGGAGTTTCTGCACAAGGGCGCCCTCTGGCTTTCAGTATGAATTAAACAGTCATTACATTACGTGTGTACTCAGTAATGCTCACAACAACCCTATTTTGGGTAAAAAATAGGAAAGATAATACTTTTCTCTAAAGACACAGGATTCCCTAAATTATCGTCATTGATATCGTCATCACGATAAATACCAGAAATATCGTGATATACTTTCAAGCCCATATCACCCATCCCTAGTATATAGTCTGATATTTCACGAAATGCTCTTCTCTAGACTACATTTCTCTAGCAAATAACGAGCTGTAGACACTGATGACTTGCCGGAGGTAAATGCAATGCTACGTGACATTTTTTTACAAGCTGTTTTATTGACGTCTTTCCGCAATTGGAACACTGATTGAGTGATTACATGAGATGTTCATTCATGTTTATTTTGTGTAAAACTAGTAGTAAAGAGGAAGGGATGATCCTGTACCGAACATTTTCGGTACGAATACGTGTACCGTTACACCCCTAATATATATATAGTATTCATAAAGTATTCATACCCCTTCATTTTTTTCCCATGTTTTTGTTATGTTGCTGCCTTATGTTAAACTGCTTTATATTACTTTTTTTCCACATCAATCTACACTCCATACACCATAATGGTAAAGCAAAAACAGGTTTTTAACATCTTTGCAAATGTATTAAAAATAAAAAAACTTAAATGATTCCATTGAATAAGTATTCATACCCTTATCTGGGACAGTTGAAATTTAGCTCAGGAGCATTTATATTGCTTGCAGATGTTACTACACTTCGAGTGAAGTTAACCTGTGGCAAATTTATTTGAATGGGCATGATTGGGAAAGGCATACAAGTCTTAACAAAAGGTTTAACAGCTGATGATGCATATCAGAGCAAAAACTAAGCCCTGAGGTAAAAAAAAACTGTGTGTAGAGCTCAGAAACAGGTCTGCATCAAGCCACACATCTGGGGAAGAGTTCAGAAAAAAATTCTGTAGAAGGGCTTTGGTTAGAGTGGTGAGCAAGAAGCTGATGGTCACTCTAGTTGAGCTCCATGATCATATGTGGAGACAGGAGAAATCTACGGAAGGACAAACATCACTGCAACACTCCACCGATCATGGCTTTATGGTGGTGTGGCCAAACTCAATCCTCTACACAGTGAAGACACATGAAAACACACTTGGAATTTGCAAAAAAAAGCACCTAAAAGACCCTCAGACTGTGAGAAACAAGATTCTCTGGTCTGAGATCCGCTAGTGAGCGACGCCTCGTGGTACCATCACAGACAGGCTCAAAATCACTTTCCAGAACATTCTCATTCACTGTTCCTGACTGGTGGAACGATCTTCCCACCCCTATCCGGAATGCTGAATCCCTGACAATTTTCAAGCGACAGCTGAAAACTCATCTCTTTCGACGCTACTCGACTTCATCCTAAATAAAAAAAAACAAAAAAACACTTTGTCTTTCTCTTTATTTATTCCTTCCCTTTCTAGCTTGTAATTATTTGAACAATGCCTGAAACTTGGTATTACGAGCACTTCCTGTGTCTGTTTGCCTCTTTAAGAAGAATCGCTTTATGTATTCCCCAATTGTAAGTCGCTTTGGATAAAAGCGTCTGCAAAATGACTAAATGTATGTAAATGTAAATATATTTATTTTATTTTTATATTTGTTATTTTTATTATTTTGTATTTATTTATCTATTTTATTTTATATAATGCTTATTTATTTAAATTCCATGTTATATATCATTATATTATTGTATTAAATTAATATTTATATATTATTATCACACTATTACTACAAAACTAACTAAATTAGTAAATTCAACTAAATTGATGTATCAATTCTTAAAGAGGAGCAAATGTTGGTGTTTAAAAAGAAGCCACTATTACGGTCATGAGACTGTGTGTAACATACGCGCACTGTTTCCAGGGCTTTGACTTTCTTGTACAGGCCGCTGTTGATGTCGTTCAGGTTGAAGAGCGGATCTCCTGCGATCTTGGCCAGCAAGTCCCTGGAAAAGTTGCTGACGTAGCTTTTACTGAAGTCCCACTTCCTGAGGATCTTTCCTGGCACAACGGCCTGCGCGTTCTCATGACAGCACTGGCAAAAGTAGCGGCCCAGATACTCACAGTACCTCAGCCTCTTGATGTAGTCTATTACACAGAGAAACCACCAGCGTAAACCCACAGAGTCAAGGAAATCAAGCTGTATTTGTACAATGCATGTGTGTTGTGTACCTGGATCGATGCGAATGCCGCAGCCGGCGCAGCGGTAGTTCTGTTTGGCCACCACCACTTTCCTCCTGACAGATCAATGGAGAGATACATACGTTACAGAATCATGTCATGAAGGGAATGAAGCTGAACACTGATGGAGATGGTCTCACTTTGGAGGAGGGTGGATGTTGAAGATGATCTGTGGTCTGGGAGGAGCCCACTCCAAATTCCCTCGCACTCGGATGCGTAACTTGTAAATGTCTGCGTGTTCGCCGTCGTCAGGTGAAATGGGAAGAGAATCTGGTATTGGAAGAAGCTTTAAAACAAAATAACAACAAAAAGCACGTGCTCAGATTAGCAGAAATTTAGACATTTTCAGTTGCAATCAAAATTTAAGGCAAGACACTATGGGCTTTTTCATGCACTTATAAAATTAGAGATTTTGAGCTGTTTTGAGTCCATAAGAAAATAGGAAAGATACACATTTAAGTGTTTATTTTATTACATTTGATCTATTTGCATCTGGAGATTTTAATTACAATGCGCTCTTTTAAAGATTTAAAGGAATAGTTCACCCAAAAATGAAAATTAGCCCATGATTTACATTCTAAGTGTTTATGACTTTCTTCTTTCATACGAATACAATCGGAGTTATATTTAAAAATGTCCTGGCTCTTCCAAGCTTTATAATGCAGTGAATAGTTGTCGAGATTTTGAAGCCCAAAAAAGTGCATCTATCCATCATAAAAAAGTGTTTCAGATGGCTCCAGGGGGTTAATACAGGCCTTCTGACGCGAATTAATGCATTTGTGAAAGAAAATTATATATATATATATATATATAAAAACATGTATATAAAAAATGTACCGAAATTGTATCGAACCGTGACATCTGTGTACCGTTACACCCCTACTATACAAATATATCAACCGTTACTTTCCAATACGGTCAGTATTGCAGAAAACTGAGTATTTGCATACAGTGTGTTTCAGGCCTAAGGATGTAAATAGAGAAGTCGTGGTACTTTTTGAGGGGCGTCGTGCTCTGGAACCAGCCAGTCGAGCTCTGAGGCGGCGGGCAGCTGCATGCCCTCAAACTGTCTGAGGAGACCCATCGCCACTGACTCTGCGGAGTTTGACTGTAGCATTGATGGAGAGCTGAGCGAACAGACATTACAGCAGATCACAAATCAGTTCTGGATACCACTCAAAACCACTGGACTTCATGACCACAAAAAGATCAGCCAAAACAAAGACAGATTTGCGATGTTCTTACAAGGAGTCGGAGCTGAGGAAGGACTTGCTGCTGGACGCACTGCGTTTGATGTCTGCATCTGACAACAATGAGAATAAAACAGTTAAAACTTTCTCCAATGAGATCTACTGTATAAGAAGAGCTATATACCAGCGACAGACCAATAAATCAGACATTATTTGGCATTTTTACATTATTGCATGCTTGGCTGAGCAACACTTAGCGTCCCTAAAATATTTGGAGAAATCTGAATAATTAAAGGGTTACTCCACTCCAAAATGAAAATTCTGTCATTAATTACTAACCCTCACGTAGTTCCAAACCCGTAAGACCTCCGTTCATCTCACACAAATTAAGGCTACGTTCACACTGTCGGTTTTTGGGGTTGATAACCGCATTTTCTTTACAGGTGTGAGTCTCGAAATGTCCCGTTCACACAGCAGCTTACAGTTGTGTTTGGAATACCGTCTGTATGAACGTGCAACGGGAGTTAAGCACATATTCCGTACCAGTAACCATAGCGACAGTGACCAACGTAAAATCAAAGATGGCGACGTCCAAAAACTGAAAGTCTTACACTTTCTGACACGACAAGAGTCCAATCGAGCCGCGATTTCATCCGTCAAATCTTCATTAACCGACAGCAGCTTTTAAATTTGGGTGGAGAGCGGAGCATTTGAATCGCGCGCAGAACACAAAACTGACCGGCTCTAAAACTTTCAGATGACACGCAGCTCATTTCTCCATCACTGTAAGTTACCAAAAACACACGTGAAAACACGTAACACACGCTAAGACACGCGTTTGAGCACCTCTCTCTCACACTGTATGACGTGACAGGCAGCTAGTTGTCCAGTCCGGTTCCGTTCACATAGCACGTTGCGAATCCTGAAAATTTACGGGTGTGATTTCGGTTACAGAATGCGGTTGTCACACCCGTAAATAACCGAACTGTGTGTGAACGTAACCGTATTAAGGACTCAAAAACAGGACTGACAACTGTATTATGCTGCTCTATGTACGCGGCCTAAGATATTTTTGATGAATTCTGAGAGCTCTGACCCTCCCATAGACAGCAATGTAATTACCACGATCAAGGTTCAGAAATGTAGCAAGATCGGTAAAATAATCAATGTGACATCAGGGGTTCAACCGTAATATTACGAAGCTACGAGAATACTTTTTGTACGCAAAGAAAACAAGAATAATGACTACGTTTATTTAAAAAAATTATTTCTACGTTGTTTACGCTTTGATTTGAACGAAAACGGCGTATCCGTGTGACGCAGCTGGCACAGAACAGCATACGCTGTTTACGTTCAGCGGATATTCTCCAAAATGGCGCTAGGGTGACATGGAGGAGACGAATGGTGGGGTTTGGGGGGGGTCTGACCCCGACCCCCCTAAAGAAGGCTTGATCCCCCCTGATGGACGTCAAAACTAGATGTAGGGGGGGTTCATATAGAAACACATAATATGCATAATATGGAGATTTACTTGTAAATATTAATATGTATTTCTATAGCTCTGACTGATTTTAAAAATGTAGTTTTGACAGCCCCTGAAATGGGTCTTACTGACATTACCTGAGCGGTTGAAGAATACGCTACAGCGCTCATTCAAAGACATGCATTTATTGCTTGGACGGAGCAAGAACACCTGAAATGCATGTGCAGATTCAGTCGAGAGATAAAGTTTACCCTCTTCAACTTAATGCTGTTGAACTGAATTTACGGAGCAAACTATTTGCTAAAATAACCACAACATTAACAGCAACGCTAAAATACAAGCGTGTGGTAATGTTAGTCAGATGTGCATGAAAGTTGCAAGTGTTAATATAACAAACACTGTGTGTTTTCTTTCAGAATCATCATTGGCGTTTAGAAAGACAAAAATAGGTTACATAAAAGTTTTTACCTACAGTAAAAATGAAGATAAGGTGTGAATAATTACATTTTAGACACATTGTCAGTAATTTCGCCAACAAAAATAAGGAGAACTGTTGTGCATCTCTGATCAACACACAGAATTCACGTTTTTAAACTAATCGACTGAATCAATGATTCAGTAAGCCATTCATAAAGGCAGTCACTTGCTTCGTTTCTGAATGAATGAGCCTTTTGAACGAATCGACTGAATGAATGACTGAATCATTCACTTATTTCTGTAAAGTTGCTTTGAATTTCAAGAATTTCTGTAAAGTTGCTCTGCAACAATTTGTATCGTGAAAAGCGTTATACAAATATACTTGAATTGAACTGAATTATTAAGACAGGGATTTGTCACCACCTACTGGTGCTTTTAGTTTTATATTTAGAGTATTGTAAGTTTTTACCTACAGTAAAAATGAAGATAAGGTGTGAATAATTACATTTTAGACACATTGTCAGTAATTTCGCCAACAAAAATAAGGAGAACTGTTGTGCATCTCTGATCAACACACAGAATTCACGTTTTTAAACTAATCGACTGAATCAATGATTCAGTAAGCCATTCATAAAGGCAGTCACTTGCTTCGTTTCTGAATGAATGAGCCTTTTGAACGAATCGACTGAATGAATGACTGAATCATTCACTTATTTCTGTAAAGTTGCTTTGAATTTCAAGAATTTCTGTAAAGTTGCTTTGCAACAATTTGTATCGTGAAAAGCGTTATACAAATATACTTGAATTGAACTGAATTATTAAGACAGGGATTTGTCACCACCTACTGGTGCTTTTAGTTTTATATTTAGAGTATTGTTTCTTTTTAAAAATAATTTTATATTTCACTAGCCTATTTATTTGTATTTTTGTATGTTGAATTAAAATATTTATTTCTAAAGCTATACTTATATTTCTTTCTAAAGCTACTTTTTTTGTAATGTCTATGCAGTTTTTTTTTTTTAATTAACAAAATAACTATTATCTTTAATTACAACTTTATCTTTAATTAATCGGCACATGATGTGCATGTTAATTAATCTTATTAATTTGAGGTTATTTTGATTAATTAGCACATTATGTAATTAATTAGATTTAAAAAAAAAAATCAATCACTTGACAGCCCTATTTGAAACATAAGAAATACACAACTGCTGTCTATGGGAGGGTCAGAGAGCTCTCATAATTCATCAAAAATATCTTAATTTGTGTTCCAGATCGAAGGACTTATGGGTTTGGGACGACATGAGGGTGAGTAATTAATGACAGAATTTTAATTTTGGAGTGGCGTAACCCTTGAAATATTGTGACATATTTTGTTAATGTATGAAAATACAATACAATAAATTTCAAAATTAATTATTATTATTAATTTTGGAATCTAGTTTATATACAGTGTGTGTGTATTTGTAGTTATAGTACTATAACTTAGTTATTTCTTTACTTCTTAACTTAGATGTATTTATAAATATTAGACTTAAGTTACATTTTAAAAATCACACAAATATTTAAACATATTACACATATATATATATTTTATATAGAATAATTATATGTAGTATAATCATTTATAAACAATTTTAAACATACTTAAATGTTACATTTTATAGGCAAACGTTAATTATTAAAATATTTTTTTATTACTGAAGTGTGTCTGGCAAAATGTCTGGTAAAACTAAGCGAAAAAGTTTAGTTTTTATTTCGCAAATGCCCTGTGTCCTAATATTACACAAGTTGATAAACAAAGAGACTGAGAAAGAGATTGTGATTCATGGCACTGGTTATGAATTGAAGCATTAAGATAAGAAAACTTTAAACTCCTAAGAGATTAGGACACGTGATTGAAGCCATTCTTACATAATAATATTGTATCATTTTTGAGACACACCCATCATAATGCAGGAAAGCTGTGCTAAAGGTTGCAGGTTTATTAGCACATATAACATAACATCAAACAAGAGGCTTATATGACATGCATATTGACACATGGGATGGACACATGTGAGAGGGGAACAAGCAAAGCAGAAGAAAAAGCAGGAACAGCCACCAACTACTGCTACAGTAGAGTCTTAAACACCTGACTCCTCTGATCCCACCATCATATCTATCAAGCAGCCAAGGCTGTGAGACCATACACACGGCTTCCCTTTCTCTTTATCTGTCTCTGGTACCTGAGAAGAGGGACGCGAGTGACAGGGACAGGCCGCTCTGAGACACCGCCAGCAGGGACTGACCATCACTGCCATCTGAGAGACAGAGACCAGAGACTGTATCCTCAACCAGACACCTGTTTCTGGTGTCGAACAGTTTATAAAGACAACAGGAAATCTAAACGGGCAACATCTACTTTCTTAATAAATGTCCTGGTCACCATTCATCAATGCCGAAACTGCACATTAATCAAAAATTATATTTAATTTAATATTTAACAACTGGTTTCTTCTTTGATGAATAAAAAGTTCAGAAGCCTGTAACATTATAAATGTATTTACTGTCTTGTAAAGAATTTAATGTGTCCTCGCATAAGTATTCATTTTTATATTTAAAAAACCTACTGACCCCAAACTTTATAAGGGTAGTTTATATATTACAAATGTTATAAATATATACCTCATACACTAAAATAGTGATAGATTTATTAAGTCCAAATCATTTCTGTAAAATCTGTGTTACATTTTATGTTGTAAAAATACGTAAAAAAAAAAAAAAATGTAGATCTTTATTAATATGTTCCTATATTGTGCACAGATATTAACAAATATTTTATAGGAGGTACATAAATATTGAGACTATTTTAGACTATAATATTTGCATTAAAATGTTTTATTAAAAATAAAAAATAAATGTTTTATTATGTTTTATTAAAAGGTGATTGAATCAAAATACATTATTTCTAGCCAAATATTTCTTTGAAATATGTCATGATTTATTTTTATTTTTTTTACATTTCATTCTTTATTCATTATATCAGGACAGTTGCACCACATGACATTTTACAACCAGGACTAATCTTGGTATCATAAAAAAGCCAAATTATTTAACATTTTAAGGGACTGTCTTTATGTGTGTTTCAGCATGTTGGTTGTACCGACTTTTTTGGTTGCACAATCTGACTCTTTTATGTTTTATTAAAATTTAGC